TACCCTTGATATCAGCAGATCTTTGATTACGTTGGTTACTTGCATCACAGCAGCCCCCACAGTAGATTTGCCCACGCCAAATTGATTCCCGACTGACCGGTAGCTGTCTGGCATTGCAAGCTTCCACAGGGCTATTGCCACTCGCTTCTCAACTGTGAGGGCTCCTCTCATCTTGGTATTCATGCACGTCAGGGCAGGGGAAAGAAAGTCACAAAGTTCCATGAAAGTGCCCTTACGCATGCGAAAGTTTCGCAACCACTGGGAATTATCCCAGACCTGCAACACTATGTGGTCCCACCACACTGTGCTTGTTTCCCGGGCCCAGAATCGGCGTTCCACCGCATGAACCTGCCCCATTAGCACCATGATGTCCGCATTGCCAGGGCCCGTGCTTTGAGAGAAGTCTGTGTCCATGTCCTCATCACTCACGTCACCGCGCTGACGTCGTCTACTCGCCTGGTATCGCTTTGCCAGATTCTGGTGCTGCATATACTGCTGGATAATGTGCGTGGTGTTTAATGTGCTCCTAATTGCCAAAGTGATCTGAGCGGGCTCCATGCTTGCCGTGGTATGGCGGTCTGCACTGAAAAAAGGTGTGGAACGATTGTCTGCCGTTGCTCTGACAGAGGGAGGGGCGACTGACGACATGGCTTACAGGGTTGGCTTACAGCGAATTAAAATCAACAAAGGGGGAGGCTTTACATCAAGGAGAAACAAAAACAACACAGAATGGCCCCCTCAAGGATTGAACTCAAACCCCTGGGTTTAGCAGGCCAATGCTCAACCCACTAAGCTCTCCCTCCCTCTGGTATTTCAGGCGGGACTGAATCTCCATTAAAGTTTTCAAGGTGCCCCTGACAGACCTCACCAAAACGATTGTCAGCCATTGATTTCAGGGGGTGGGGGGGAGCAAATGAATATAAAACAAATCTGGTCTATTTCTTGTTTTGATCCACTCCGTCTATCTTTTACATCTTTGGCATCTATGGCAGCAGACGGTGCAGTAGGACTGCTAGCCATCCTCATCTCCTGCCTGCTCACCATAAGATGGTACAATAGGACTGCCTGCAGGACTAAAGAGAATGACCTGGTCGAGTCACTCCTAATTTAGTCCCTGTACCCATGTCTGCCCAGGCGCTCCTGACCGACATTACCGAGGCGGCTAGGAGCACCTCAGACACGATGAGGATGGTTTTCAGGCCTATTGCACTGTCTGCTGCCACAAGGCAATGGGTTGCTGCTGCTGTGTAGCAATGCAGTACCATGTCAGCCAGCACCCAGGAGATATACAGTGACAGTGAGCTGAGCGGGCTCCATGCTTGCCGTGGTATGGCGCCTGCACTGGTAACTCAGGAAAAAAGGCGCGAAACAATTGTCTGCCGTTGCTTTCACAGAGGGAGGGCCTCACGACATGTACCCAGAATCACCCGTGACAATGTTTTAGCCCCATCAGGCATTGGGATCTCAATCCAGAATTCCAATGGGCGGCGGAGACTGCGGGAACTGTGGGATAGCTACCCACAGTGCAACGCTCTGGAAGTTGACGCTAGCCTCGGTACTGTGGAAGCACTCTGCCAAGTTAATGCACTTAATGCACTTAGAGCATTTTGTGTGGGGACACACACACTCGAATATATAAAAACGATTTCTAAAAAACTGACTTCTATAAATTCGACCTGATCTCGTAGTGACGACATACCCTCAGACTAATTACAAACAAAGAGCTGCATTGCCGCATTTTGTTTAAGTAAGTTACACAGGAGCAACAAGACATGCAGAGAAAGATGTTTCCGTATAATGTTAATTTCGGTTTGCCCTTACTGGAATATATAATCAATTTTGAGAGTGAAATACCCTTTTTCCCTGTCTGATCCAGGCACAGGAAAGGACTAATTAGACTATGTCTCTTCACGGCTGCAGTTTAAAACCAGCCTTTCTTGTGGTAGTCATTTGTCATAAGCTACTATGAAATTGCTGCTTTTGCTGCTGTACTCTGCCTTAGCTGCTGGTTTCTACTGACAGACCCCCACGAATGAACAGATCGTGTGTTAATGGGCTTCTGGACACTGCTACGACATCAATAATCTTTCTCCCGCAGGAGCTCCCATTGCAAAGCTACCTTTTCAGTGGAGAGCATTGTCGTAGGAGGACGTATTTTAACAAGTAGAGTGCCATATACTGTACACACAGCATTTGTAATAAACAGCAGAACTTCAACCGTTAATAGAAAATACTGCTCCTCTTATGTATACTTTGTTTTAAACCTTTCAGTCTCTCTATCCTTCCATCTTTTTCTTAATTGACCACCATTGTTTTTATTCCCCCCCCCCAACATTTCACACGTGCATACCTTAACTCGGGAGCAGTCCCACTGAAGCCTAAACATGAGCAGGGTCAGAACCTTAGCATGAGATTTTTCCAAAGTGCTCAGCATTGGCCTAACTCAGTTCCCTCGGAATCTAATGCTCTGCCCCCACAGTCTTCAATGGAGGCAGAAAAAGCTAATGGCTTCCCATCCTTCCTTTCGAATTTTCTTACTTTCTGTTGGTTCGTCAACCTTATTTTTATCTGAGGTGGGCTTGTGTTGTATGTTTAATAATAGACCAGTCTTGTTTTCTTTTCCGTAGATGCAGATATAAACCTTCCAGTCAATGTTTTAATTTTGCTTTTCACATCATTTGCTGGAATCAAATGTGATGCTTTAGCAGCTTATTTCCCCAACTATTTCAGTATACCCTTTTCTAACAGCTTTGAATTAAAAATCTGGAAAAAGAGGGGGGGGTGTTGTTTTTAATAAACATGAAGTTCTATAATCACAAGTTTGTAATAATTAATGACATCAGTGCACCTGCCAAGCAGAATCAGTTGAGTAGAACATCTCATTATAACAGCATAGTACCTGCAGAGTTCCTTTGGGATGGATAGTAAATATTTAATGATTTGTTCTTGATAGCCTGGAGAGAATGCCTGTAATAAGCCAGTGTCTCTTCAGGTAATATTGAAATATCCAATAACTTTGCTACCCAACATGAGTACACTTTGAGTGTTTCTGGTCATTAATAAACCACTTAAAGCATGAAGGAACTAATGTGGCATTCAGTATTTATTAAACTTTCTCTCTATTTAGATTTTTCGTCTCTTGGACAAGTGCGTTGAAAATGACAAAGTTTATTGATTTAGATGTTGTAACTCCTGTACACTCTATGAAGTGTAAATATATACAGCTCCTCCTTATTTGCTTCATATTGACGTTTCATTGTTCTTTTCAGTTCATCCACCTTTCTGAGGTGACTGGGGCTGTTAATAATTGTGGAGTCTGTTCCCATGCAGTGCTGAGTGTCCTCAACTCCTGTTGACTTATGGTGTAATTCTACTGTGAAGTGTGACATTGTAGGGTCATATAATTGTCTCTCAATTTTTTCCATGTCAGATGTGCTCGTTGTACAACTAAAAGACATTTTCTTCTAGCTGCCAACTCTGCAAACTCACTATGAGAGTCAAGCTGGGTAATTCCTTTCTTACTCATCGACAAAGTGGTAAAGCCCTGGGAGCCATACTGTGCTCTGTTACTCCTGAACCTTCTCATTATCTTCAGTTCTACCCCAGGTGACACATGGGCAACATCATTGCCATGAATGGGGATGCAGAGGGGCACCTGACTGGGCCTGAAGGAGCAATGCTCTTGACGAGGAGGAATGGAACTCCGCTCACTCTGCCATGGCTGAGAGCTCTGCAGGCAGAAAAGGAGTAAGGAGAGCTGGCCTAAAAGCGGGAATCCCTTTCCTCAAAAATGTTCATGTTTTTGAATAAAAGTTTCATCCTGAAGCAGGGACAAAGCATTAAAAAGGCAAAATGTTCACAGAAAGGGGTTTCAGGGAAACTCCATTTCAGGAGACCAGAAACTGAAATTTTCAGCTTTCCAGCTGTCTTCAGGTGCTCTAACTCCATGCCACCCCTCCAGCTCCAGGAGTCAGAGAGGCATTGCCCATCCCCTGGAGATTAGGGGGAAGTGAGAAGGCAGAGCACCCAGTTCTGTTCCACTCCATGCCCTGAAGCTGAGAGCAAGGCAGGAAAACTTGCCTGTGATTTGTCACGTCTGTAATAGATTCAGCAGAACATTTCACTCTATCAAATTGGCACTTTCCAACAAAACTGAGTTTCATAGAAAATTTCCAAGCAGTTCTAGGCAAAGGAACTTACTTTTGTCACTGCAGTTAGCTGGTGTGATTCGAAATACACATTGGGAGAATGTCTACCAGGCACAAAGGTGTCTTCATATGTAGTCTCTTTTCAGGATACAGCCACACTGTGAATGGACGTCAAGGACTATAAGTACCCACAAATTTGGGACCTTTGCGTGCATCAGTTGAACAGGAGATTTTTAAAAGAGGGCACATTTTAAACATTCTTTAACCTGCTTCTCTCAGTTAAATCTAGAACTTAAGGCCGGAATTTCAAAGTATCTAGGTGCCTAACGATGCAAAGAGGTGCTAGCGGGATTTTCAAAAGCATCTACACGCCTATCTGCAGTTTTAGGCAACTAATTTCTTTTAAAACTCTGGTCCTTAGTGCCTTGCATTAGGCCTCTTTCCCTGATATGTTAGAAAAATGTTAAGATGGAAAAACTGAAAATGCGTGGTTGCTTTCATGGTACTCTGAAAGACCTGTAGTTATGTGATATTTGATAGGAGCAGATGTGGTACAACACAGAATGTAATGAGGAGTTTGATGCATAGGAAAGGTAGGTGGAGAGAATGGAAGTAACTTATTTGCCTGCAGATTGCAAAGGTCCATTATCTCTGCAACCTCAATTAAAAGATCCATTAGTTATAAAAAATGGGGCTTTTATGTGTTAGGTGGCATAGGAAAGATTTTGTGTTCTTATCTAGAGCTAATCAAGCAAATGAAGCTTCTGCAGACCACTGTGCTCCATTTCCAGAATGAAAGGGTGGCAGTTTGTGCCAAAAGCTCCAATCTTTCCATGATTCTTCTGATTTCAGGCTGGACAACAGCGTTGGTGGGAACAGGAGATCACGGTAAACGGAAACATTCAGAAAGGAGAGTTAATTACATACAACCTGACTGAGCTGATCAAGCCAGAGGCCTATGAAGTCCGCCTAACTCCCATCACCAGATTTGGGGAGGGAGATTCAACCATTCGTGTCATCAAATATAGTGGTAAGGAGACGTTATGGTAACAGGAGACATACTGGAATATGGGTCACACAGTTTAATGTAACTGGTAATGTGCAGTTAAGAGCAAAATTTAGTTCCTGTCACTGTAAGCTGCATAATCATGCTCAAAGAGTAATTATCAATGGTCCGATGCCAAACTGATGGATTATATCTAGTTAGGTCTTGCAGGGGTCCGTTCTGGGTCCAGTACTGTTCAATATTTTCATTAATACCTTGGATAGTGGAATGCAGAAGACACTTTTAAAATTTGCAGATGTCACTAACCAGGGAGGGGTTGCTAGCATTTAGAAGGACAGGATTAGAATTCAGAACAACCTTGACAAATTGGTGAATTGGTCTGAAATAAACAAGGTGAAGATCAATAAAGACACATGCAAAGTACTACACATAGGAAGAAAAAAAATCAAATGAACAAATACAAAATGGTGAACTAGGCGGTAGTACTGCTTAAAAAGGATCTGGGGTTATCATGGATCACAAATTGAATATGAGTCGTCAATGTGATGCAGTTGTGAAAAAGTAATATCATCCTGGGGTGTATTAACAGGAGTGTTGTAGGTAAGACAGGAGGTAATTGTCCTGCTCTGTTTGGCACTGGTGAGGTCTCAGCTGAAGTATTGTAACCAATCCTAGGTGCCACACTTTGGGAAAGATGTGATCAAATTAGAGAGAATCCAAAGGAGAGCAACAAAAATTATAAAAGGTTTGGAAAACCTGACCTATGAGGAAAAGCTTAAACGAACAAAAACAAAAAGCTGGCCATGTTTAGTCTTGAGAGAAGAAGACTGGGGAGAAGCTGATAAGTCGTTAAATATTTTAAAGATTGCGATAAAGAGGATCGTGATCAGTTGTTCTCCATGTCCACGGAGGGTAGGACAAGTACTGATGAGCTAAATCTGCATCCAGGGAGATTTAGGTTGGATATTAGGAAAAGCTTTCCAACTATAAGGATAATTAAGCTCTGGAACAGGCTTCCAAAGGAGGTTGTGGAATCCCCATCATTAGAAGATTTTAAGAACAGATTGGACAAATATCTGACAGGGATGGCCTAGGTTTCCTTAGTCCTGCCTCAGCACAGGGGGCCGGACAATGACTTCTCAAGGTCCTATCCAGTCCTACATTTCTATGACACTATGAAATTGAACAAATAGGTAGAATTATGTCTAAGGCCTCGATACAGCAATTAGATCGTCACAGGCAGAGCCTTGTGCCTGCAGGAAGGGTGCTGCTCTGCGTAGAGCTGGGCCGCTATAGCATTTTCGATTTCCCTGGAAATTCCACAATCTCCATTTTTTTCCCCATTCCAAAGTGGAACAAAGCTACCGCCCCCACAAATTGAAATTTCTCATGAAACACAATTCAGAAGAAAACATTCTGAGTAGATTGAAACATTTCGTTTAGGTAAAATCTAGATACTTTGTTCCATTTTCAACTTTTTAAAACTTTTTTTTTATAGAAAAACAATGAAGTTCATTGCAAAAAGTTGTTTCAAAACAAAATGTAAACATTCCCTTCAGATTTCAGAGGAGCAGCCGGGTTAGTCTGTGTCCGCAAAAAGAAAAGGAGTACTTGTGGCACCTTAGAGACAAACAAATTTATTTGAGCATAAGCTTTCATGAGCTACAGCTCACCTCATGGGATAAATTGGTTAGTCTCTAAGGTGCCACAAGTCCTCCAGTCCTTTCAGAAAATGTCAAAGCATTTCATTTTGGAACTTTGTCTAAGCAACATGTTGTCAAACTTGACACTTTTTTAAACATTTCGGTTTTGACGAAAACAGCTTCTTTTACTCACAAAATGTTTCAACTACAAAATTCTGACGAGCTCTAGTTCAGGGCAAGTGCAAGCGTCTTCCCACAGTGACCTGCAGCTGCCATGTGGGCACAGAAGACTGCCCACATGAATCTAGTTGGGTTTTGGATTGCTATAGCCTTTGTTTTTTGGAAATCTCCAAATATTGCCAACGTTTGACTCTTAGACCTGCACAAAAACCTTAGGTTTTTTGTGAATATTTGTTTAATGAATTGAATTCTCTTTTCCTGTTTGTTTCCCTTTCCCTCTGTAAATATCATAATGAAAGGACAATATGCCCATGTGGAGTATCAATCCTGAACTCAGTGGAGCTGGGCCAAAATAATACCGGCTGAGGACCTGGCCCAATGACTGGAAGGATTTGTAACTGAAAAAAATGAAGTAAATTTAAGCACATATTGGAGGAGCTTTGTAAGAAGGGAATTTAAAAGTTTGGAAATGCAAGTGTGAACATTAGAACCCTGATTCTCTGTTACCCTCATCCAAACAGGAAACAGATGGCATGTGACGTGTCGAGTCACAACTAGGCAACGTAATACTGAGACGCTCTAGCAGCTAGCTAGCACAATGGCCAGAGCTATATAAAAACTTGAGAGAGCTCCATTTTGGATACCAACTATAATAGACGGCTCAGAGGCAATCTGCAGACCAAGAATTACTCCTGGAAATTAGTTGTCAAATAATTTTGAATAATGAACCGATCTGAGAAAATTGTAAGCGGCTTGTGCACAATTCATGAAAAGAAAAATACGCTACATTTATCAAAAAGATTATTCATGATCAATTATTAGCTCCGCCGCGCTCAATTCCAGTGCAAATAATTTAATAGTGTGTTAATATCAACCAAAGAAATGAAATGAGACACCCCAAAATATTGATTCCACAGGCACATATTTGTACTTTCCAATTCCGGACAGCTACCCTGCTCACAAGATGAGCCAAGCTTAGGGGTTTTGCATTTTGCAGAAAGTAGTTGTCTAAGCAATGTATTTGTGTCCCAAGGTATGAACTAATCAAAGCTTAGGTCACTTAGGTCTCCTGAGTCCCAGGCTAGCTGCTTAACTCCTGGATCATCCTTCCTCTTCTGACAGATGCAAAGAGCAGCATCCAACTTATGGGTGGTTAGCTCATCTCCCCTTGGGCTCATCTGGCAGTGCCTGTTGCCTGTGGAGCACAAGAGGTTGTTTCAAGTATTAGTTGTGGCTGTGTGCTAGAGGCAAACACACCGCATGCCCCACAAGGTCACTTGCTGAATTCAGGATTTTGCTGACTTGTTAAGTCAACTGAAGTGTATAGCCCTGCACTGGCAGAAACACCTCCTTCCTGCAACAGAAATGGCATGTTTCTGCTGGAGGGAATTTTGTTCTCAGATCTGTCACTAATACAGATTTGAATGAAATACACACGCATTTCAAATGTGCTGACAAAGTACCTGTTGCAAAATCAAACCACCCAGCAGAAAACAAGCCGTTTGCATTCTATGCAAGATGGGTACATTAGTTTTGGAGCGCGATTCAGCGCTATTGATGCCGGTATCTGCAACTTTGCAGTTTTAAAGATCATGAATAGGCTGCAAATCAACAGGATAAATCTCAAGTTGCTTTCCTTTAAAGTAGAACTCAAGATAGTTAACCCTTCGTGCACTTCAAACATGGGGTGTGTCTGAGCACCATTATCATAACAATTGTCTCAGCACACCTATTATAAAGCTTTATTTCCAAGGTGTACTAGATTCAGCCATAAAATAATGAGATCTCACACATTTATCCCAGTGTCGTGTTTTATATTTATAACCTCAAAACGCTTGATTCCTAGAGATGTTAACAGGCTGACAGGATGCATTTCACAGCAGCAAGTCCACATAAATGTAGATAATAAACCGTAAATATTTATCCAGGAATTAAAATAAGAGCAGAGGGAACGTGGCTAGAAAGGACAATTAAGGTAACAATTTGCAAAGCTCTTTTCACTGCAAATGTTTGTTCTTTGGGGCATCTGGCCAAGCAGGGACACATTGGAATCGTAAGATTTTCAATATACTTTTAATCAAGTGTGTGTTGAGTTGCATTCTGTCTCCAAGAGGAACATATCCTGGATTCCAGCAGTGCCAGCCTATGTTTCTCACATCATCTCTTTGGACAATTCTTATTGAAACATACTGTAGGTTTAATTCTCACACTAATATATTAGTATTCCATTGTGAGCTCTATGATTGGTAACCTACATCTCTTAGTATATTATATATTTATCATCAGGCTAATTATATTTTTACTCACTTTTTATTTTATCCAGGATAAAATGCAGATCAGACTCATTCTAATTAGAGATGCTAGAGCTGTTTGCTGCATTTTTCTTTGAACTGAGCTGAACCAGGTGTACAGAGGGGGAACAGAAGGGCAGTGCACAACTTAAATCCTACTTTGAGGGCTTACGTTGGGTTTAAATAGTGTATCATTAGAACATAAGAATGGCCATACTGGGTCAGACCAAAGGTTCATCTATTCTAGTATCCTGTCTGCCGACAGTGGCCAATGTCAGGTGTCCCAGAAGGAATGAACAGAACAGAGAATCATCAGGTGATCCATCCCCTGTATTGTCTGTGTGTTGACTCCACATAGAGCCAGTTTCACCCTTTAAGAGTTGTTGGAAAGTTTTCAAGAATCAACAAGCAATTTTCATCATGTCTTTTGCTTCTGTGCCCTCATGAGTTATAGAAATTGATTTCCTCTCAGTGCAGAGATAGCAGACTTCTGGCTACCAGCAAAGAGTTAAAATGTGAAACTCTAGTTTCATAAAAACTGAGAGACATGCATGAAAAAAATATATCCAGTTTGCAGAGACAGTATGTTGTTTCAGAGGTAGAGTATCTATAATTCACATTGGTTAAAAAGCCGTCAGTGAACTACAGAAAAGTAAAAACAGAACAGACTGATTTTAAATGCACCGTTTACTGGGACCAGGGCCTGGATCCTGCAAGAGTCCAACAGCCCTCACTTCCCATTGACTTAAACCAGGAGCCTATTGGGTTAGTGCACCAACTTTCCTTCCTTCCACCTAAATCCAAACCCTATCATAGGTTACAAGTACAAATTACCTTGGCAGCTTGAACGTAACTCCCGATTTTGCAAAGCTTTCCAATATATCGCACAATTTAACACAGGTAGTATTAT